TTCTCTTTTGAAGATCTGCCACCAGCCCACCACTAACTGGATCCTTTTTTAAGAAGAAAAAAATAGTACTTTACTCCTTTTATATATTTCCACGTTTTACAATTAGTTAGATGCACCGACGAGTTTTGAACTCCTTAGAATTTAAGTTACTTAAATTGAGATTTGAGAGTATAGATTAATTATTTTTTACATTATTATCCATATATAACTTATTATAGCTAGCACAACCTATTTTTAGATAAAAATATCGATTTAAACTGGAATTCCTCCCGTTATGTGCTAGAAATTCCAGAGTGGAACAAGTTTTTATCTGTAATAGCCAAAATTGTACATAGAAAATAAAATTTCTTTTACCCATTAGTCTGCTTGTGTCCAAAATTTTAAAAAGTTAAAGTCATCTCATTATCAGTAGAACTGAAACCGAACAAGCTAAGTCCCATTATCAATATATTTGTAGACTACATTATCAATAATAAGTTTTTTTCTGATAAGAGACAATAAACACGTGTTCATATTATCTTTTGATGCCAAATTTCATGAAGACAAGCCACGGAATATCTGGGATTTCATTTGCCGTATTCATCCAGTATTATTGCTTATTATGCAGATACCTCATACCTCTACAGTTTTGTCAGAAACTAAAAGAGCTTGGCGAGCCAATGGTTCCCAATCTTGATGAAGGCCTCTGGACGTATTCACGACATTCAAACTATTTTGGAGAGCAGTTATGGTTAGACTAGTGACATGAGAATAATAATGTGCCAAGTTCCACAATTGAAGTCCTGGAACCTCAAAGAGTTTTGCGGAATGATCTGTTACTGATGACAGAGTCACAGACAAACAAGTGTTCTATATATATAACTCCCAAGCAAGTAGATAACATGATGAAGTTGTCTTAGTAGAAATATGACCTGTTTTACTGCTCTTACAGAATCCTTCTATTTATGAAGGTAATCATGATACTTTAGTTCATTCAAATCAGGAATCTTATCTTGATACGTACTCTGTCAACTATTTCTCGTTCTGAACAGATTTAGCTTTGCAATAGAAGATCCCTTTTTACAAAGTGGTTATGGAATTTATCAAAACAAAAGAAAAGGCACATTGCTCGTGTGAAGAACCAGTATGTGGAGCTTGTACAGTTCATCGAAAATATTTATATAAAAAAAAGAACCACCCTGTATATATAAGCCGTACTGTTTTTAATAGCATTCATCGATCAATAACAAGTACATCTAGTCTAATCTCTAGAAGTGGAATGTACATGAAATTTGGGCTACGAATTAAACTATGCCTACAAAACTGAAAATAACTAGTTGCAACTCTATGCCTTGTCTTCTATACCGACGTTTGCAGAAACTCCTTCTGGTGTAGCTGTTCCTTTGTTAGCGTTGAGGTAGCATCTCGAAACTTCAAGAACAGCAGCAACAAAGGCCAAGGAAGCAAGAAAAGCAATGTAAGCATTCTTCCAAATCCCGACGTCCATCATCTGGAAACCTTTGAAACAATTGAGAATTCCCATTATAATAGTATCATAACCAGTACACCAGTGATAGATATTCCAATACACCCTATATTTGTGTTCCTTTGATGGCCGTAGACGATGAGCTAACACTTGTAATGTTGCAAGCACTAAAAGTGCACCACCAATGTACCTATGACAAGTGTGTTGTTTAACTGAAGAAGATTGTCTCCCAAGATAAAATCCCAAACCTCCACCAGCAATACCGAGAAAATAAGCTATACTTTGACAATAAATATGTAGATTGAACCACAAAGCTGGATAGTACTCTTGTAATGGTAGATATCTCAGTCTAGCAAGAACAACACCAAGTGGCATCATCATTCCCCAACTAACCGCATTGATAATACCATGTGCAATCTTTATCTTAGACCTTGAATTTAGTTTTACATTATGACTACTTATAGGCACAGTTTTCCCAGAATGGAAATTTAAAGTGCCAAAAGATCTCAAGTTATCTCCTGACATGCCATGACTTCCTGGTGTATCATCATCTTGTAGTGGTCCTTCTTGCCAAACATGATTCACAACATTACTTCCATTCATAGGTAGCTCAAACCTCGCAAAGATGATGACTTGTCCATTGATATTCTGGGCTGAAACATCATGAACCGTAAAGCTCAAGTCACCTTTCACAAGGGTGGTTCCATAGGTGTCGATAGGTGACGTGTATGCTTCGAGAGTACCATCAGAACGTTGTAATGCAACAAAAGCTTGCGAGCCGATCATCCCTGTAGATGTTGGGTTTATAGCCCAAGCAAGCCATCTTCCGTGCTGCCTTTCAGACTTCCTAAAGGCGATATCGACAGTACGAGAAGGCACGTCATAATTCCAGTGTATAAAAGAATTCAAAGTATGAAGATGGCTGCATGAATCGTAGGATTTTCCATTGAAGTGGAAATCGGAGCAGTTGGTTCGAGCATATGAGGAGAGGAACCATAGGGAGAAAAAGAAGCAAAAAACCAACAGGTTATTAGAGTATGCCATCAAGTACGTAGTTAATTTCTTATGATGAGAGGGTGGTGTATTTATAATATGCGTTCACTAATCCAATTTAGGGATGAACTAGGTTAGTTAAATTTGGAAGTTACTCGCGGATTAGGATCTATAATCCCACTATGAGTGGGAGTAGGAAAACTTAACCTTTTTTTTAAAGATTAGTACTAATTTTTAAACATATGGTAAATTTTTTATAAAAAAAAACCCGCTTTTAATTTGTATATTTAATTGAACTAATCCCATTTATGGATGGACTAGGCTATACTAAAATTTGGAAGTAAATCACATTATGATGTGAATAGGAAAACTCACTCATATAAAAATATTAGTAAATACTACTACTATCATTCTCTACTATAGAGATGTATAAGATGTCTCAATTTATGAAAAAGTAAGAAAATAGTTTTAGATAGTTGAATCATTTGATGAAATATGTTTATCCAATAGAGCGAAAAAGTACGTACTTTCTAAGTTGAAAAAAATAATGCATATACGAATTGTGGTAAACAATATGAAGGATACAATAGAAAAATCACATATAAATTAGGATTTATGTGTATAAATTATATCTTGTTGCAACACTAATAGGTATGAAGATTTTACTTGGAATATTTTATTTGGGGAATGTTCATTGATATTTCAAAAAGAATAAAACTGCGGTAAGTTAGGATATGACCCATTTTTAGTTTTTTAAAGATAATTACAATACAATGTATTTGGGTGATTTAACTTATAAAAGTGCAATTTCAAATATATACAATGAAGTAATTAATCTACAATAAATAGTCCTGTTTTCATTTATATTAAAAATAGCCAAAATCGTAGAAAGTGTACACGGACTATACAACATAACTTGCCAAAAGTCATAGAAAGTATACACTAACTATACAATATATCTCACATATACATGAGTGATACACTTACATTATGATATACTCAAAAAGCTGAATATAGATTAACTATATATAAAGTATACACTGACTAAACATGAAGTATACACTAACTATTCAATCTTGATCAACTCAAAATTACCTCTCTCTAAACGGTCCCAAATTTTAGATACGAAATCCTCTTGATGTTTCAAGTCTTTATGAAGAGGGGGGGAGGGGAGAAGAAAAGAAAGAGGAGGGAAAAGAGGTCATTAATGCCGAAATTGGAAGGAAGAAGAAGGAGATTAGAAGTCATTAATTGTGAAATTGGAAGGAAGAAGAAGAAGAAGATTTTGGCCAATTTCAAAAGAAGGAGATTAGAAGCCATTAATTGTGAAATGGGAATGAAGAAGAAGAAGAAGAAGACTTTGGCCAATTTTCATATAGGGAAGTGCTAAATGGCCAAAATTATGTGGCCATAATTTGACCAGAATTGTAAAAAGACTAATTTAACATTTTTCTCTTTTATTACTACTATTTCCTAAGCTTCTAAAATACGTGTGAACAACAATTATTATGTTTAGTGAGTTAGAATTATTATTTATTATGTGAAGGAAATTATTAATGGACTTTATAATGTGGGACCTATTACAATCTAAGAGAAAAGGACCAAAATTGTCTCTTATCTTTACCTTAAAGACTCAAAATGATCCTTTTCATTTCATATGGAGCACTAATAGTCCTCCTTCTTTGTAAAAATGGTGCAGTTTTAGTCTTTCTAGCATTTTCCGTCAATTTACAACGTTTAGCTCCTTTTGTCCGTTCATTAAGCAACAATGAAGGTTAATTATTAAGGCCACCAAATGAATTAATTTTGAGTGGCAGGATCCATTGTATTCACAATTAATATCACCCTCATATATTGGCTCCATTTATCCATTTACAAATTTATTTTAAAAAAATACTTAGATTCTCACTTGATGTCAAAATATTCATATTGGTGTCCAACTATGTTAGAATCGTGCCGCGTAGGGCTCCATTTGGTTCGTATACCAAGAGCTCGAATCTGAAACCTTTGGTTAAGAGATAAACATTCTTATCCACTACACTACATCCTTTGGTTGTATAGATATACTAAATCCTTTTGTCTAGAATTCCAGAAACACGCTTCAAATTTAAAACAAGAACTTGTTAATATCAATTAGCATAAAATTATAATTTAATAATTATTATTGGATTATGATTAGGCATTAAGAAAATTCATACATCCTTATAGAATTGATAATATCAGGATGATGAGAGGGTGATGTATTTATAATATGCGAATTAATCCAATTTAGGGATGAACTAGGTTAGTTAAATTTGGAAGTTACTCGGGGATTAGGATCTATTTTATATATATAATCCCACTAGGAGTGAGAGTAGGAAAACTTAACCTTTTTTTTTAAAGAATAGTACTAATTTTTAAACATTAGGTAATTTTTTTATAATCGCTTTTAATTGGTATATTTAACTGATATTTTCAAATTTTACATTAAAGTACACATAAAATGTAGTGAGAAAATAAAATCAATTGCAACTGAATTGAAAAAATATACATGTGTTCATGCCACAATAAATTCAGTCTCTTTACAATTTTTATTGTTTTTAAGCTTTAATTAATTACTTTACAACTTTCATTACTATGTTTGTCCTCCTTTCTCCACCCAAAGTCATGTTCTTCACCTCTAACAGCTTCGACTTTTTGAACAATTTCACCACCTCTTCCACCTCTTTGCCACCACACTCTTCCACAGCCACAACACACGCGCCGCCATCTCTCACCGTTCTCTCCATTTCCCTCACGTATCGGGCCGGAAACAAGGCCCGTTCTAAATACGGGCTGAACACGAAATCAAACACCTTATCAAAAAACGGCAGATTGTGTGGATCCGCACGGCGCACCAGAGGATGTGATTCAACAACCTCGATACCGGAGACATCGTTAACCCCCATGTTATTAAGGGCCATAACAGGATGACCCGCCCCGGCTGACACAACTAAGATCCGAGAATTGTTGGAGAAGAATTTTTGGGCCTGGAGGGATTGGAATTGAATTGTAAAGGAATGGACTGTTTGGATCCATGATTTGGTGGACCATATACGGCGATTGTGTTTGTTTATAGTGGTGAAAGTTCGATGGGTGAAATCGCAGGTGGATTTGGGGAATTTTTGGTGGGGTTTTGGATTGGGATTGATGAAGATCTGTGGGGTTTTGAGGTAAAGGAGGAGAAGGGTTAGTGTTGCAATCGTAATGGATGTGAAGGAGAGTTTGTTGAGGAAGCTCTCCATGTGTGTCGTTTCCATTGATGGATAAATCTTGATCGGGAAGAGAGCTTAAACGGTGTCGCTTTTATCCTTTTATCTCTTTTTCAAATAGTCCCACTAGCGTCAATGGAAGGAAACAACCTTACAAGCTTGATTCAAAATTGTAAAAGTGTCAAATATGTATATTAATGAAATTGGTTCAAATATACTCTTGTTCTGCCCCACTAATTATACTTTTGGTTAATGTATACTCCTTTTACTATAGTTTGGCATAAATTTATTTTAAATTTTGATAAAAAGACGTGGCAAGCATAAAATCAAATATGTTAATAACTCTTCATATTTATGATACTGATGCATTTTTACTCCTACCCCAAACTTTGATCACTTTTTCAACGCTAAATAGATTTTCAATTTTTAAAAAAAAAAGATTTTTATCTATGAGTTTACCAAAGCAAGAGGATCATTTGGTAACCTTTTATAGCGTGGTAGTTAGGACTCATATTGATTATGTATTCCTTAAGAAAGGTGATAAAGGCATTTGTAAGAACTGTAAGATTATTTTAGACTAGAATCTTACTACTCATTAATTATAAATTTTTGTCCCATTATTGATTCCTGTCGAAGGTAACTTTTTTTTTACTTTAAATTCAGCTTTTTCTCTTAAAAAAAACCTTTTGCCCCATTCCTTTCTTAATTGAATTTAAAAACAAATAAAAGCTCTAGCACAATTTTAAACAAAATATAAGACTAACTTTTTCTAAAAACAATTCTAAACAAAATATAAGACTTCTAGAAAATCTACCGCTTACAAGTATTTTTCACTGCATAATTAAAGTCCTACTCCAATTATCTTGAATAAATTGGTAAGTTCTTCTTTATAAACGTATTTTTTTTTTGTAAGAATTTGTTGTTGATTCTTGTGATTTGAAATGGATAGATTTTTGACAAAACATAATTCTTCTCAACCAAGTTCTAGTTTTAGAGACAATTCTTCGCGTTTTATAACTTGAATCGGATCCTAAAGAAAGAATATCCACTGATAAATATAGCCCTAGAATACGAGATGAAGTGAAAAGACACTATATCCAACAAGGTCCTTGTCAACCGGATATTAATGATAATGAATAACCTCAAACTAGATTCTGAACGAAAATGCGTCGATTTTGTAAGGCATGATTTAGGGGTTCATATTCTAGATGGTTGGAGTATAGTATGAAGAAAGATGTTGTATTTTGCTTATGTTGCTATTTATTTAAAAATGACTATGTAAAGGGGAATGCAAGTGATTTTTTCACGAAAACTGGTTTTATTTTTTTATTTTTTAAATTATAATGTTCAATATTGATTAAAGTGAAATAAAATAATAAAATTCACTATTAAAATTTATTGGGGCCTCAAATTTTTTGGAGACCTAAGCAGTATGCTCCGCTAACCTTACCCTTAAGTCACTCCTAGCCTTACCCTTGAGCCACTCTTAGTGGTGCCTCCCTATCTTTATATTCTGGGTTCGCCTCTGTATCCGGGACAAGGTAGGTGTGATCTCCATGGTGGACAAGATGAGGGAAGCAAGAGATGGTTTGGGTATGTGAAGAGGAAAAGTGTAGATACCACAGTGAGGAGGACTGAGGGGTTGGCAGTGACGGGCATCAAGAGAGGTAGATCCAGGTTGAAGAAATATTCCTCTTATGTTGTACTGCTCTTCATTTCACATTATTTCGTTATTGTTAGTGTTCTATTTCTTTTTCAAGCTACGTAGGTTGTGCTTTATTTTAGGGAAAATTGTATATAATAGCAAACTATTAATTCAAATTAAATTCTATAAATATAGTTTGATTTAATTGTACCTCATAGCAAACTGTTGTTATTTCACCTCTCTCCTATTGAATCTCGCTCGCCACTCTCGTTCTCTCCCTCCCCTCCCTCGTTTTTTATACAAACGCAAGTGTATAAAGTGCATTTGTGTTTGTATAAAGCGAGAGAAAATTATATATATACATATATTTTCGTTCCCCTCTCTCCCCTCTCCCAGATCTCGCTCGCCACTCTCCCAGATCTCGCTCTCTCACTCGCCTCTCTCACTTTATACAAAAAACACAAATTGTATAAAATGTGTTTGTGTTTGTATAAAGCGAGAGAAAATTGTATATATACATATATTTTCGTTCCCCTCTCTCCCCTCTCCCAGATCTCGCTCGCCACTCTCCCAGATCTCGCTCTCTCACTCGCCTCTCTCACTTTATACAAAAACGCAAATGTATAAAATGTGTGAAAATTGTATATATACATATATTTTCGTTCCCCTCTCTCCCCTCTCCCAGATCTCGCTCGCCACTCTCCCAGATCTCGCTCGCTCACTCGTCTCTCTCACTTTATACAATTGATCTTTTTGTATATGTATACCAAAACAGATTATACATCTGCTTTCTTTTGTATATGTATAGCGAAATATATATATTTATATTTGCTATGGAGCGCAATTATGCAAACTTTGTTATAACATACAAATATGAATTTTGTGTTTGTTATATGTGAAAGTTGCTCTTTATTTTAAGCCGTGGTCTATTAGAAAACTTCTTTGTCTCTACGAAATAATTAAGGATAAAATCTGCATATACTTTATTCTTTCCAAATCCCACTTATAAGATTAAATTAAGTATGTTATTGTTGTTCCTCTTCGGTTCTCCTTTCTTATGGTAATCTTCACGTGAAAAAATTCTTGCTGGGTTTTCCAAACACATAGCCATTAGCAAATTGGAACAGATGACATAGTATATGAAGTTCTAAAAACTCTCGCACAGAGTTTTCCTTGGTTCAGTTTGTTAATTTCCATATATAATTAGTATCGTGTTTCACTCTAACGTTCCACAACTAAAAGTTCAAAAGGTTTTAGCCAGTAGAATGGTCAAAATTCCAACTTCAGAAACTCAAATTTCAAACACAGGCTCAAATAACTTTTAATGGAGTTTTATAATATGAAGTAGCTGTAATATAAGAATTTATCATACAAATTTTTATTGTTGCCCTACAGTCTCCTATTGATTTTTGGCAGCCATGATTAAGTACTACAACAAATTAGAATTGGCAATTTTTTTTGAAAGATTGAAATCATAATTCTCTATTATATATATGAGTATATGTAAGTTGAAATTGAATAAACTATGTTGATTTATCATATCACAAAATACTAAAATTAAACTTTAAAATATCAAATCATACCTAATTAATATAATATAATATTTTTCAATACCGTAACCTATCATACCATCTCCGGCCCTGATAAATAATGTGAAGCCAGCCACGGAATAAAACAAACTGTTTACTACTATAATGTTGTGTAGTCACGTTATTTGAGTGATTCTTCTGGTTGTACTACAACATACTATGTAGTACATACAATACAAAAATACAAAATGAGCCTTGTGCTTTACTTTTTGTATTTGTTTCTCTCTTATACTTTGGAGTACATGACTACTCTATTACGTACTAATTTGTTTCCTCAATACATTACTTGGATGATGTTGAGTGTGGGGCTGGCTTGCGTGTTAGGTGAAGGCATATGATTGTAGTAATAAACAATTTTAACGATGTACCTTTTCTTGTGAATCATGCTCAATTATTTTTGTTTTTCGGGAAAAGGGTCAAAAATACTCCTCAACTTTGGTTTATTGTTTGACTTTATCCTTGCCGTTAAAATGAAGTTAATTTTACCCCTTCCGTTACTAATTTCACCAAAACTACCCTTCATTTGACGGAATCCCCAAAATTGACCCAAATTACCCGAATTTTTAAAAAAAACCCTTTCCCTATTTTTAACCCAATGACCCGACCCCTCTAGGATAACCCGGTTAACTCAATTAACCCAATACCCCGTTACCCATTCCCATTTACCCATTCTTTCTCTTTGAATCTCCTTTTCTCCATCATGTTCATCAATATATATGTAAATGTGCAATTTTGTTCAGGTTCTGTAAATATATGAATGTGGATAATGAAAAATTTGTTTGACAAAAGAATTATATTGTTCATGCTGGTTTGAGGAAGACAAGAATGATTATCTTGGGTGGAGGGCTGCCTAAGCACCATATTTGCAATTGCCAATATGATGTGAGATTTAAAGGATGTGTTTTAATTTTCTTGTAGAGTTATTGGAAGTGTTGGCTCTTTGAAGTACTTGAATCTTGTAGAGTTATTGGAAGTGTTTTAATTTCCTGTAAGTGATGATATGTTTATTTCTAGGTCTTATGATCATACGGTGAAAGTTTGGGGTGTTAGGGTGATGAATTTGGGTTCGGTGATGGAGTTTGACCATGGAAAGCCCGTTGAGGATGTGATTTACTTGCCATCTGGTGGGTTAGTTGCTACTGCTGGTGGAAATTCTGTGAAGATTTGGGATATACCTGGAGGTGGAAAATTGCTATGTACAATGGAGAGTCACAACAAGACTGTGACTTCGATTTGTGTTGGTAAAATTGGGAAGGAGAGTGGTGAGGAGGCGCAGCAATATCGGATTTTGAGTGTGGCTTTGGATGGATATATGAAGGTGTTTGATTATGCGAAGTTCAAAATTACTCGCTCATTCGATGAGGTTTTCGAATCCTCTAATGTCTGTTGGGTTCTCGCCTGATTGTTCTACAAGGGTAAATGGGCATTGGGTTAATTGGTTAACCGGGTTATCCTAGAGGGGTCGGTATTGAAGACTGATTCAAAGTCTGACTTGGTCAAGTTAATTTGTTAGTAGTTTCCTATTTTCTTGGGCTGTTAGCAGTCATGTTGCAGCAGTTCTCTTTTTCTAATTTAGTGGTAGATGTTGCTTAGTTAGTGGAGTAGTGGTTAACTTAGTGTTTGCTTATGTTTAAGTCTATATAATGTTGTATCTTCCTTTGATGAATGACAGATAAGTCAAGTTACAACAAACTATTTGATCCTCTTATTTTTTAGCCTCTGCCTTTAAGTTGTTTACAGCCCTTTTCTCCAACAGTCGGGTCATTGGGTTAAAAATAGGGAATAAGGTTTTTTTTTTAAAAAAATTCGGGTAATTTGGGT